GGATGTTCCCGGTGCGTCCCCGCAGCGCCTGGGCTGTTCCCGGTGCGTCCCCGCAGCCCCGTGGATGTTCCCGGTGCGTCCCCGCAGCCCCGTCGATGTTCCCGGTGCGTCCCCGCAGCCCCGTGGATGTTCCCGGTGCCAGTTGCTGGAACGCCGGGCTCGCAGCGCCCCCTGCGCGGGCACGCGGGAACTACAGGTGGCGGCACAACCCCCACGGCACGGGAGGGCAAAAACCCACCAAAACACCGCCAAAAACCCACCAAAACACCACCAAAATCCCACCAAAACACCACCAAAATCCCACCAAAACACCACCAAAATCCCACCAAAACACCACAAAAAACCCACCTTCACCCGCTCCGCAAACCCAGTGATACAAGGGAGAACTAGTATCGTTGCATCTTTTACAAAGAAAAGTAAATCCTTGAGGATTTTATTTGTAGTCTTTGCTAATAGGTATTCAGCACCAACCTACATTCCCTGTGATGCACTTTTAGTATCCAGAGATGACAACGCAGCAGGTTTCCCCACATCAAAGCTCTGACAGGAGTCTTTGAACTACAAAAGCTGTAATGAAAAAGTAATAAAAACCATCCTGAGACAGGATTTGTGTCATCAGCCTTATACAGTATGAAATGGCATCTTTTAGTACTCATTTATATTTAATTCACAGTGAAAGGAGCCTGAAATAAAAATATTATTGTCTAAATAGGTGCCTTTTTGTATATTCCCATAGTAACACGTGTGTTCCTAATTTGCAGGAAACAGATCCTGAAAGCATTAGCTGAAGCAAATTGCTAAAATAATAAGTACTGATGGTCCTGTTGTTAAAAGATTCCTTAGCCTAAAGATGTAGTTTGTTATGACATCCAGTAAACATTCTCCTTGGAGTACACCAGTAAGCATATACATGCCTCACTTCTTTTTTTTTCTTTTATCCTGTTACTGTCCTGTGTAACAAAGTCTAATGTTTGGAATTTCTTTTGCTCCTACATGCTAAAAAAAAAAGTATGGAGATGCATTTCCCTCTCTCTGTCTCTTCTTCTAGCTTCTAGCACTTCACAAAACCAAGCCAAAGGCTTACTACTCTCTTCATAGAGCCTATAAGAAAGAAGGCACAAACAGACCATGTCTCTGTAGCAGGATATGGACTATCCCCTCCCATCTCATCTGAGCTGTCATGGCTCACAAGCCCCCAGACCCAGGACACTCACCAGCTAGCAATATCCGAGTCCCATTGTGCAAGAACTTCTTTCTGCCTTGGTTTGCCCTTCCCGAGACTCCCTTGTGACAAAGGAGAGCCCAGTTCCGCCTAGAACCAAAGAACATGATCAGGTGCAAAGACATTGCTGCAAGTTCAGGGTGTCTGGAAGAGGCAAATCATAGGTCATAGACCTTGAGTCACAGTGACATACTTCCAGTGGCATTTTTTGACACTTTAGCATTACCTTAGAACTGTTATTTGGGTCTCCTGACAAATCAAAACCAAACAACACTTGAATCAGCTGTTGGCATTTGGATCTTGCTTGGGTTTTGTAGGGTTGCCCAAGTACTAATGGCAGTGGACAACATATTTCCAAAGACAGGGGACTCTTGCTCTTACCCAGATGACTCAGAGGGCAAAGTGCTCTGGAAGACACAGTGATGGTCCTACCATTTGTTTCATTATTTATTCCTTCTTGTTTAGTTTCCTGCTAATCTGCAGGGATAAAACTTCTATTAGGCATTCATTATGGCCTTAACTAACACCAGATTGTTCCTGTTAGGAAACAGATTCCTTCCCATAAAACACTGATGCTTCAAAAAATGTCACCAAGCTGCAGTGGTATGAAGGTACCACACTATAAGGCCATATATTAAGTCTATATGTATACTGTTTTTTACTGCTCCAGTTTGGTAAGAGTTCCATGATAAAACCTTTAGTGAATAAAAAATACCAGTCATGATCCCACTGCCTACTGTCACAAGGAAATGATAGAAAAACTTGGAAGTCACATGCAGAAGTTTGTAATTCTTTGCTCCTATGCTTTGGAAGCTCATTGTGAATTCAGGCAGCCAATTGACAGTATTCATGCTAGAGTAAGGAAGAGTAGAAACAAAAAGCTTAAAGGCTACCATATCACAAAAATACCAAAATAATCTAGTGTATCTGAATGGGCTCAGATTTTGTTCTGGTACATTAACCTTCCTGACAATAATGCACTCAAAACATCTTGCATGTTTCCAACGCAGCCTATATCAGCTTATCAAGGAGGCTGTACAACTATTGAAAGAATTCTGAAGTGGCCTTGAAATCAAGCCTTGGACTGAGAAAAACAACCACAGTTCCCAGGCTCAGAAGACCAGTAAAGCAGCTCAAGGAATATAGCCTTGCCAGAGACCAACTCCAGGATCCTCTTGCACAGAGTGCCAGGAAAAGGTGTCATTGCACAGCTCAGAGGGATGCTGTCACTTTCAAACCAAGCTCTAATCCTCACCTCATCTGCTGTGCAAAGTAGTGGCAGCTAGACTGATTGACAGCATTCCTTCAAAGAGACAAATTTTCTTTGGCAACCACATACCCTATAGTTTCAATGGCATGAGCATTCATTTAAATAAGGCACTGTACAGGCAAATATTACTTTTTGGGGCTAAAAGTAGAACAGCTTTGAATCAATGTAAAAGGGAAAAACTTTCCTAAGTTTACACTCAGACATTACCTGTCTTCTTGCTATCAACTCTCACAATAATTAGTAATGATACCACTGCAAGGTTAGATTATAATATTAATCTCAGTTAACAACCTTTCTAATTTCACAAATGCCACTTATTTTGGAAATTATAGCAAAATATTTTACCAGTTCTGGTCAAGTATGAAATGTTTTAAAACAAGTATTTTACCAACATATTTACAACTTTGGAGACCAAAGGGGACATATGCAAATCGCCTGTTAATCAGGTACCAGCATTACCCCATGGTTTTAGAATTACATCCTAGGGAGTCATCACTAGAAATGCAAAAGAAGTAAATTCTTAGATTTTTATCAACTCCAGGAGTAAACAATTACTCTTAAAGAAAGGTATTAAAGCTATCAGAGCCAGACTGAGCCAACTGACAGGCAGGCAGCAGTAACAGTGTCCTGGCAACTGCCTGATCTAGATTCAGGCAAGCCTAGATTCAGCCTAAATTCAAGAGTATCCTGGTGATAGATGAAAAGCACTTGCTTGACTTTCTACCCAAAAATCAAAACTACTTTATAAAAAGAACAGTGTTTTGATTGCCATCTTTCCAAACTAGCAACAAGACTCCCAACACTAATTACAAAAATAGGAACCACACAGACAAATCTGCCAGGATCACAACAGCACTTCCAGAGGTGCTGGCACCTGCTGCTTGCATAACAGTGGTTTGCCTCTTTATCCAAGGCAAGTGTTGCTCCCATGCCCTGCAGAATTCCAGCAAGAGGAAAGTAGAAAAATCAGAGGGTTCTTACAGATACAAAAGACTGCATACCTCCATCCTGGCTCCACTTCTCCAGGCAGAACAGGTGTACATGAAAGGTCTTCAGTTACCATAAATGTATTTTCTGAGTTTCTGAAAAGATGTGAGTTTATGAGATGTAGAATGTAGAACCTCAGGGTTAGGGTTGGAAAGGAACAAAATGTTAAATAATAAAAGATTATTTTCACAATGGCAATAGGTAACTGGGAATTTGTGGGCTGCTGATTTAATAGAGACCTGAGAGTCCAAATTTACCAGACTAAGGAGGGAATGGGCTAGCTCAGCTGACCTCAAATACAGGGAACAAAATAAACAAAAACAATATGTTGATGAATGTGGCAGCATAAAGAAGTGGTTACAGTTAGGAAAAACAGAGGGAACAAAGAAATAAATAGTGGCATTTATTTTTTTCCATTGTACAATGCCGTGACTTTTCTTATTTTGAAAGCAAAAAGAAGCAGGTACTTTTGACCTTTATTTTCTGCATTCCTCTTTGCTGCCTGCAAAAATAATTGCTATTTCCAGCATCTATCTTAGGAAGCCAGGAAGGGCCTTATTCTAAGAAAGACACAGTGGAGAAAGAAGTAGTGTTCTTGTATGTGCAGCAATCAGATGTAGGATTTATTATGCACTGAGCAATGCTTGGGCAGATTTGAGCATACAAATAGTTAGAAATAAGTGTTATTTCATTCCCCATGGGTTTGAGTTAGGCTCTTGCCTTTTCTGTGTGTTTTGGCTTTTTTCTCACTGCCACAAAACCTACCTTATCATGGGGCAATGTGTGGTAAGGTCTCATCCCTTTTCTTCCATGGGGCTGAAATGCATATATTTGGCAGCTTCTGCTCCTGGGAGAAAAGAAAGTTGGATCTCAGGGAAATCCCCAGATTTGGAGTGAGTCACTGCAGCTTCTACAGTTCCACCATGGAGATGGAATAACATAAAACATGACCAAACTACAAGGTGAATTTTTACAAACACTGATAAATCCTTATGCATCTTCTTCCTTTCTGAATATGCTGGTAAGTGTCTCCCAGGAATCTCCCTTTGTTCCTTTCTGTGCCATATAAGGTTTCTGTGCTTGTAATAACGTTTTCTTACACATCAGTTTACTTTGTGTGAAATTCGATCATTTGTTGCCTCTCACTGTCTCTAAGAAGCACAGTATAAATAGAAGACAATAAAATTGCAAAAATATCCATAGTAAAAAGGATATAGAATAAAATTCAAGAGACAGATGAAACACAAGCAGGAGAGGCAGCTCAGTGTCAGAAGACCTCTTGATGATTCACAGAGGCGGCACAAATGCATGTGGGAAAGGAGAATTTAAGATCAGGAGGTAGCATCTGCTAAGTATTGCTCTACATTTACACAACAATCTAAAAGAAACTTCATTTTAAAGAAAATCTTATACACTGACTTGACAAAGTAGCCTATAAAATCAAGTTTTCATATCCTGAAAGAAGTTGCTTGAAGCATGCCTTGTGGATTTGTAAGAAGTGACTGCATTTCATCCAGCCAGACTCCACAGACTGTTGGCTAATATGAACCACAGCACCATTTAAACCTTCTTATAATTTCCGGTAACTTCCTTCCATCTGCCATCTTTCTTTTAATTTTTCACTTATTGAATACGAGTTTCCAAACAGCACAGACCCAGTCCAGACCTACAGGATCACTTTAGAAGTGAAATTAGATTTGCTACCAGCAAGACAAGCCACTAGAAATATTATTTCCAGTGGAAAACAAAATTAGGCAGTCTTTTAAAAATAGAGGTGGATAAAGTCCAAAATACAAGTCTATGCAGCTATCTCATAATCAATGTTTTTCAGTAACAGAACAAAGAATAATAGTCTTTTCTGAAACTTCTTAAAGTGCCTGCAAGTTACTGCAAGAGAGGTCATGCTTACACTGAAGCCTAATTCCTTTGTGTTAACAGATGTTCAGAATAACCCAGTACACAGCAATTTAAGTAATTCAAATCCGAATAATCAATTTCAAAGCACCTGCAGCAACAGGGTTTCTGCAATGTTAGCTTGGCCATCAAGTCTGCTGTGAATCTAAACACCTACTTTTCTTTATCCATTTCTGAGTAGTAAATACTCAGAACTACACAAACCAGTAGAAGCCAACATTTATCAAAGCCTCTACATCAAGCAAAGCAACATGATTTCAATTAACTTCTGCAGACAGTGTAAGGTGTTTGAATTGACTTTGTAATACCAAAAACACCTTCCATAAATCGCTACACATGCTGATGAATATCCAAGGTTCACTCTCACCCTGACCCTAAGGATAAGACTGTATTTTGAGGAGATTTATGGTGACAGGAAGATGGGGTTTTAAGTGATGTTACAACAGATTTGCTGTGGACATGCATTAAAAAAAAAAAAAACAAGACCAACCAACCAAACAACAAATAACAACCCAAACCAAACAACTCCAACCCAAAATAAAAATTTAGACAGATATTAAGACTGTACAATTAATTGCAGAAGTAAAATTAAAACACTTTGAAAGCACACAACTTTGTTGCTTCATACATTCAGTACTGTTGTTGGCTAAGATGATAAGTACTGTATTAATAAAGATGAGCGAATTTCTAGCTTAGCATTAATCATTTAAGCTTTTGAAATACAAATCTTCTGAAGGATAATTTTCAATTCTTCATGATATGACATGCAATCAAAATTAACAGTGTATTTACACCCATCATTTAAAAGAATGCTTTAATGCTAGCACACTTGGAATTAAGGCCTTTCAGTAAATACCGGAAGAAGTAACACAAGAGTTTTGCAGATGGGTTTTATGGCTTGTTTCTAGGCTCAGAAGTTCTGATTAAAGCAAATTTGTGAAACAAAGTACCACATGTAGCTGATGGTAAAAGCATAGAGATAATTTAAATAGTTGTCAGTATGTTAATCTTTGAGTATTGCCACCTTTTCAGAAGCCTGGTTCTTCCAAATTGTACTATTCATACTTGACTATTATATGCAGGCATTACAATTTTGCTTTGAAATACACTTTGACCAACGTTTCAAATCACAGATTGCAAGGTATCTTAAATGCTGACTTGGTCACCATTTTTTCTACATCTTGATGACAATTAAAAAAAAAAAAAATTCAGGTATTGAATTTTGGTCTCAAATATATAAAACATATATGGTTTAGAAATCTCTCAAATTCAAAGGTCCTATGTGTTGAATGAAATATTTAGATTAGGCATGAGGTCAAAAAACCCAACTTTTTTCTTAAAGAGATTTTCTCTCAAAAATTATTTTGAGAAAGAACCATTACTAAAGGAAAACGGGTAACATCAGATTTTACTTTTCTAAGAATTGTATCAGTTTTTCAACTTCTGTACTAGTATTCATGTATGCAAGTATAATGCACTATATATGCAAAATGCAGAAAGTAATACATTTTCAACTGACTCATTTTGTAGGCAAATTAGCATTAATTAAACAAGCTAATGTGTGAAAGGCTAGATAAAAATTACACCTTATAAAACCAAAGCAGATGTTTCAACTTATAGTTTTAATATAGCAATCAAAGAAAATTCCAAATACTGTACAGTGAAGTGTAGTATAGTACACTATATACTGTTATAATACACTATTGTTACATTACTGATAAAAAAATCAAATATAATTAGTACAGCAATCACAAATAGAACAAACCAAACCTTGCTGGATAACAGCCAGTACTGTGAAGATGGTATAGTTTCTATGCTAATTTATTTTTAATTCAACATGTAAAGCACTTACTTTTTAAAAAGATTTTTTCTAAATATATACACTATTTTAATTCCTATTTATACATTTTAAATAGCATTCCCTCCTAAAAGTGCACTCTTTCATTTCTTGGCAATAATCCTCATCAAACGTAAAATAACTCTGAAAATACCACTCTTGTTTCAACCTTTTATTGCTCAACCACAGGCATAAGGGCTCAGAGGGAATCCTGCATTCTAAAGATCTTAAGCAACTTCTTCATTAAGTTAAACTGATATCCACAAGCAAAACAAAGAAACCACTCTCTGTTGTGGCTTTTTTAAACAAAAGGATTAACTTCATATTCATATTATTATTATTTTACAAAAGCATGTAAATTCTGATATTTAAAAATAGGAGCCAAACAAATGGAGAGATAACAGTGGCATCTTCTTAAATCATTCATTTTCCATACAACTCATATTGAGCATCACTCTCCCAACTGTAAACATACCAAGAATTTTGTTTCCTGGCATTTTCAGCGCATTGAAAAAGTAGCAAGCAACTCCACTAACCCTTTGACAATGACAACAGATTCTACTTTATGAAAGATTGTAAATCAAGTATTTTGGCCTTGCAGGGTTGTTAGCACACAGCCCTGGGGCACTGTGCCTCTGTGACACTGGTAGAGCATTCTGTCAGAGGCAATGTCTAGCTTGTATTTTGCAGCCAGCACAAGACTAGTAAACTATATGGAATTCACAAAGCCAACAATGCACACAGCTGTTCTGCGACTACAACAGGGAAGACATCCCAAATTCATTTCTTTGATTTCATTTGAAAATCTGCATTTTCTTTTCCCTTGCTGAAATGTAAACAATTCAGAGAGAAACAGCACTATCAAAAAGTCAGCTAGGCATCCAGCCATTTGAAATACTAAGTCTTGGAAAACTGATCTGCTCTCCCAAGGTTTTCTAAATGCTCCTCAGCAATCTAGTTCATTCCCCCCCCCCCTTTTTTTTTTTTTTTTTTTTTTTTTTTTTTGGCCTTTTTTTTTTTCTATCATCTTTGGGTTATTCATACTAAGCCATAGTAACAATTAAGATTTTCCAATAATGAGTCTTCTTTGCCACGAGACACAGCATAGAAGATCCTTGGCCTTCAGACAAGAAAGTAATCAAGGTGGGTACTCAAAACCACACCCTCTTTCCACAGGCAATTTGGCAGCAAGAATTTGGGTTGTTTGCCTTTACATTTCAAGAAAAGGGCACCATTCTTGACATTTGAGAAGTCCTACTGACACATCATATCATCCACAATGAGCTGAAGTCTTCCCTGCCCTTGTACCTCACCAGCATTTTCCTGACTC